AGTCCCCCCCCCCCCCCCCCCCAACCCCACAACAAACCTAACTCAGAAAACAAAAAGAGAGCTGGGTTTCTGGGTCAAGTGTTTAAAACCCAAGTCTACACTAAATTTTAGTTTTTCTCTTCAAATTGATACCATGAATTCGATATATCCTTTTTCTGAAAGAAGGATTCCACCACTCTCTCATTCATCAAACTTTCTTAGTACTTACTTTAATCTTTGGTAATCATCTCATAATTCTATTTCCATCACAGCAAGATATACCTTGAGATACCTTCTATCTTTAGCATTAAAACAAGAACGATAAATTGCATATTACAAAGTAACTGTCTACTAGTATGGCAAGCTAGTAGTTACCAAGTTTGCAGTAAGTACAGACCCTGGCCGATGCTGTTCCACTTAGAGTATTTCCCCTCCATGAAATGAACGAAGTCAGCACTTACGCATGTTCTAGGGCATGATAGATTTTTGAGGCTCGTCTCCGAAGTAGTGGCTCTAACGTGAAAGCGGGAATGCTGTTCTGCCACTTCTTTGCTTCATACATCTCATTCCATGCTTGTACTATCTCATTGATATTGAACCCTAAGCCTGCAATCATATAGGTCAGATATACATCAACACTGTAATGGCTTGTCTGGTGAGGTGAATACAGGACTCGATAATGTTAAGAAAGAAATGAAGTCAAAATTTGGCACATTATCGTGTCCAATTCTGCATTAAACTTGCTCTAATAGTTTCTCTAGTAATATGAAATATCAAACTAATTTAGATACTGTACTCATATATCACCTTCGAGTGCAGTATCATTAGAACAATGGTTCTTTATCATGACAGCAATATCTGTTGAAGAAGCTCCAGCTTGTTCAAATTTTTCAATAGCAACCTCCAGATATTCGTGCCACACAGGAATGCCTATTTTATATTCCATAATAGATCTTTCATATAGCATGGTACCCCATAAAACATATATCTGCGACCTAATATTTTCAGCCTGTTCTTCAGCTTCATCTGCTGATATATCTTTAAACATATTACCCATATTCATTTTCAGCAACAGAGATGAAATTTTATTTGGGTGGGTGAGTTCATTTTGACGTAGCTCCTCTGCTTCCTCCCACATCTCCATACCTTTTTCAATATTTTCCTCAGCATTGTTGTAAAGCTGAAGAACTTCTTCTGTTGCAGGCCATGAATCCAGATCAACGTTTGTGGCAACAGCATAATACCAAGAAAGTTTTGCCTGCTCAAACTGTTGCTGCGCGAGAGCTAGAATGGCGTCATAGAAGTCTGGTTTAATTTTCAGC